TTGTAGATGTGAATGCCTAGGATTGCTCATAAATCTACTGATTAGGCCAACACTGAATGTAATTTCAGGCCTGTTGTGACATATGTACCTTAGGCTACCTACAACTTGCCTGAACAATGTTCCATCCACTACACCTTCTGTCTCTGCACTTGTTAGCTTGAGATTGGATTTAGTAGGAGTCTCTGCAGGATTACAATCTCCTATATTGAACCTCTTTAGTACCTCTAGTATGTACTTGTGTTGGTGCATTAGAATCCCTTTTGTAGAGTAAGTGAATTCCAAGCCTAAGAAGTAGGATAGGATGCCAAGATCTGTCATTTCGAATTCATCTTTAAGTTGTTGTTTGATGCTTTCAATGCTTCTTGAGCAGCTCTCTGTGACTAGGAGATCATCTACATAAAGACATATGAGTATGGTGTCTTTATGCTTCTGATTCTTGACATATAAGCCATGTTCTGAGATGCATTTTATGAAGCCAATCTTGCTTAGGAATGAGTCAATCCTCTTGTTCCATGCTCTAGGTGCTTGCTTCAAACCATACAAAGCCTTATGCAATCTTAGCACCTTCTGCTCATTTCCCTTGCTCTTGAAGCCAGGTGGTTGAAGTATGAACACTACTTCATCAAGTGGACCATTTAAGAAAGCAGACTTCACATCTAGTTGCCATAACTTCCATTGCTTCATGCTTGCCAAAGCTACAACCAGTCTCACTGTTTCAATCCTAGCAACAGGGGCAAATACTTCTGAGTAATCAATTCCTTCCTTTTGCATAAAGCCTTTGGCTACCAGCCTTGCTTTATGCTTGGCCAATGACCCATCAGGCTTGAGCTTAACTTTGTAGACCCATTTAACAGCAATAGCCTTCTTCCCTTTAGGCAAATCTACCATCTCCCAAGTTTGGTTTTTCTCAATGCTCTTCAATTCTTCTTGCATTGCATCTCTCCATACCTTGCTAGAGATGGCATCTTCAATGTCAATTGGTTCAATATCAGCCATAAGAGCTAAGTGTTGGATCAAATCTCCATCTTCTGTGATTGAATCATCAAAATAGACTTGATAATCACTTAGTCTGGATGGAAAGCTTCTGTTTCTGTTTGGTCTTGCCTCAATCTGTTGCTCATTGTGTTCAACCTCATGATTACTTGTCTCTTCTGTTTCTGTTTCTGTTTCGGTCCAATCCAGTTGCAACCTAGGATTTAATTCAGTTGAGGTTTGTTTATCATTCCATGAGCCTGCTTCATCAAATACAACATCTCTACTAAAGGTAACCTGGTTGGTTTTTGGGTTGTAAAGCTTATATGAGCCAGTTGAGTTGTATCCAACCATGATCATTGGTTCACCCTTATCACTTAGCTTCTTCCTCTTCTGTTCAGGGATATGTTTGTAGCATAATGAGCCAAACACCTTGAAATGCTTCACTGAAGGCTTTGTTCCACACCATGCTTCTTCTGGAACCATTGACTCAAGCCTTTTTGTTGGACATCTGTTGAGTATATGAGAGGCAGTCATGGCTGCCTCACCCCAAAACTTGTGTGGCAAATTCTTTTGCTTAAGCATACTCCTTACCATATTTAAGATTGTCCTGTTTCTTCTTTCTGCAACTCCATTGTGTTGTGGAGTATATGGAGCAGTGACTTCATGAATCACACCACTCTCCCTACAGAATTCTTCAAACTCAGTGGATGTATACTCTCCACCACCATCAGTTCTTAAGATCTTTATTGACTTGCCTGATTGCTTCTCAACTAAGGCCTTGAAGTTCTTGAAGATTGAAAATACCTCACTCTTAGTCTTGATTAGGTACAGCCACATCTTTCTGCTCAAGTCATCAATGAAAGACACAAAATACTTGTTGCCTCCTAGTGTATGAACATCAAATGGTCCACACACATCTGAGTAGACCATGTGAAGAATGTCAGTAGCTTTTGACATTGTGTAGCTACTAAATGGAGTTCTTGATTGCTTGCTTACTAAGCAGTTCACACACATGCTTTTAGGAACTGTTATTGAAGGCAGTCCATGTAGCATGTTCTTTGATCCAAGCATACATAGGTCTCTGAAGTTCAGGTGGCCTAGCCTTGAATGCCATAACCAAGATTCATCATCTAATGTTGTTGCAGCTGCACACTCAAATTCCATAGTGTTTAGGCTTACTTGAAAGGTTATGTTCTTTGCCAAAGGAACCTTCAATATCTTCTTTACATGGGAATCAAAGATTTCCATTGCTCCATCTATCATCTTGATTGGGAAGCCTTTTTCTAGAAGCTGACCTACACTGATCAGGTTGCTTTTCATTCCAGGGACATAAAGCACTTCTGTTATGAGTGCACTTCCTCCATCTCTTCTCTTAATCAGGATATTCCCTGTGCCCTCTGCCAAGATAGTCCTATTGTCTGCAAATCTTACTTTGCTCTTCTTCTTTTCATCATAGTCCATGAGCCAACTTCTATGTCCAGTCATATGATTGGAACAACCAGAATCTAGAAACCAGATTTCATTATTGATCAGCTCTTGATTAGTTGTCACCATTAGCATGATTGGCTCATCTTCTTGATGTGCTTCATCATCCTTCTTAACCATATGAACTTGATGGTTACTGTTTTTGTGCTCTCCTCTATGATCACTTTGAATGGTATTAGCAACACATTCATTTGAGTAGTGACCATATCTGCTACACTTGAAACATTTCACCTTCTTTTTGTCAAATTTTCTTCTGCCACCTCTCCAATTGCCTTGACTTCTTCTGTTTGAGTTTTCAGGCTGATCTTGGTCAGTTCTTGATTGACTCTGCAAGTTCTTTCCAAAATCAGGCCTTGTTTCTCTTCCCTTGCCTCTAGTAGTGTAGGAAGTTCTTCTAGTGTTTTGTGTGAACAAGGCTTGCCCATCACTCTCTCATTGAGCCTTTGCTCATGTGCTTCAAGTGATCCCTGCAACTCTTGTATCTTCAGCTCACTCAAATTCTTGGATTCTTCAATGGCAACCACTATGTGGTCAAACTTAGGATGTAGTGTCCTAAGTATCTTCTCCACCATTGTTTGTCCAGGCATCTTTTCTCCATAAGCCTTCATTCCATTTGTGTGTGTGATCATCCTATTGAAGAAGTCAGCAATTCTTTCATTGCTCTCCATTTGCATGAGTTCATATTGCCTTCTCATGGTTTGTAACCTTACTTTCTTGAGTTGTTCAGCCCCCTCATTGCACTTCTCCAAGATCATCCAAGCTTCTTGTGAAGTTGCAGCTTCTGCAATCTTCTCGAAATGCACATCATCTACACACTGATGCAGGAGAAACATCACCTTGCAATCATTCTTTTTGTCTTCTTTGTGCTTCTGCAGTTGTGCCTCACTTGGATTTGCAGGGAGTGGTGGGAATCCTTCTTCAACAAAACTGCTTACTTCTTGATACCCAAACAGTGTCTTCATTTGCACACGCCACTTATTCCAATTCTTCCCATTGAGGATTGGAAGATTTGTTGAGAAATTTGCATTTGATGGTCCCATGATTTCTAAGCTCTTGATACCAATTTGTTAGAGCAATCCTTGCTCTTGTGAAAGTCACAAACAGAAAACAGAGGAAATGAAGAAAGAAAGCCAAAATGATGCAGAGAGAAAAAAAGTATTTATGTTGTTTATGGGGAGAGAAAACGAAATTTAAAGATGAAGAAGAAGATAGAGTGTTAGATGTTATGATTCAATGAATAATACTTTTATTCAGTGAGTAATATTTTGCTTTAAAAACTCATATGCTAACCAAGTTACAAAGCTTCTATTTATAGTAGTGTATACAACTAACTAAACTAACAAAGATACTAGAAACAGAAAGTTATAGTTAGAGAGTTTGAATCACTCTTTTAACAGTTTGAACTGGCACCATCCCCGTTTCATATTGAGTGTCTTCCTTCATCATGCATTATCCAGATATCTACTTGTCTGTAAACATCCACTCGGTGAAATTAAGTTAACCCAAACCTTTTTTTATATATATATATATATATGCAAATTTGATTGAGGTAGTACCTTATGCAAATAATAAAATAATTAAGTATAGTACTAGGAAGTGACTCCTAGGTCGTTTCCCAACGATTATCTTTTACATAAATGTTCAAACACCTTACATTCACACACATGAGGTTTTATGGTTGTTATGGTATGAAAATAAAGTTAAAACAGTAACAAGTAATAAAGTAATGAGGCTAAATCCCTTTGGTTTCTTTGTTCACAACTTAATCATTGGTTTCAAAAGATCAAAATCAAATTTCCAGTGTGTCTTTGTTGAGAGTCAGTTAACTAAACGATGGTCAACTCACAGTTAAATTGATAAACCTCTAACTAAGCAAAATTGACATAAGCAACAAATAGTTAACAAATTCACACGTATCAAAGGATCAATTTCAGCTCATAAATAGTGAATTCCTAATATGTTGAGAATTAATTAACTAAGGGATAATCAATTCACAACTTTAATGTCTAAGCTTCAAACTAAGCGAAATCAACATAAACATAAAACATTTACATATTCACATGTACTAAACGATCATGGGTTAGAGAACTAATTGACTAAGCAAAAACCAGATCACAAACCTACAACAAAATTATGAAATTAAGCAAACCATAATCTGAAATAGGATAGAAGATTCAACAATATACAAACCGAAAATTGCATTAATAACCAAAGAGAAACCGAAATGCATTAAGCACTAAACCTCAAGAGTTGTGATACATTACCAAAGAAATTTAGTTCAAAGTTTAGCCTTCAATGGAGGAAGAAACCAAAACGGAAATTAAAGAAGAAGAAGGGGAACCCAAAAACCCTAAGAGAGCCCCAAAAGGGGGAAAACGAAATTGTTTTTCTCAAACTAATGGAATGTGTAGTGTTCAATCCCTAAGTGAAACCAAATTTGTAAGCTAAAAATGGTATAAAAAAAAAGGAAATGGACCCTAAACAATGGGTCCAAAACCCAAAAGGAATTAAAAATCTTAAACTATATACAATCTTCACTTTAACATACATCCTCCACTTGTAATGCCCAAAATGTCTTTTGTGCCAAATATGTCCTGAAAGTGGAATTAAATTTAATTAGACAAAATAATCCTAAATTAACTCATTTTCCTTTAGATGACCACGCAATTGTAGCAACCAAACCACCAAGATGATTTCTTGAATCACTCTTTTCTTTTCAATATTTTTTATTCGTTACTCTTGAGCCACCACTAACCAGAACTCGCATTGTAACTCCCAGAAGCATTACTAGCCCAACACCAACCGCCAGAGTTATAAGAGGACGTAGGCACCAGAATGTTAAGCATAAAATTCTTCACATCATCAAGAAGTAAGGTGTAGAGCATGTTAAATTCCTAAGAGACATCATGCCAAAGGTCCTTCACCAACAACTGGGTATTAGAAATATTAACAAAATCCACCATATAACACAACTTGCTCAAACTCAACCAATTATCATACCAGAGAGAGTAATCAATTATCATACCAGAGAGAGTAATCAACATGACATAGTTGAAGGTTGAACCCACTCCTCAGGGTCTATAGTTGCTTTGACAATGCATTTCCAGATAGGAGAAGCAGTCTGTTTCATCGGGGAAAAAAGAATACAATGATCCCCCATATATTTCTCTTTCAAAATACTGTACCACAACTTGTTACTCCATTGGATCAAATTCCAACCCAGCTTATCAAAAATGGAGATATTAGACGAACGAGTTTTACGAATCCCAAGACAACCAACCTTTTTACCTCTCCAAATAAAGTTCGGAACCATCAAATCAATATTATTGCAAATACTCTACGGAAGTCACATACTCTGCATGATGATATAAGTGGGGAGTGAGGTGATGAAGACATAGCCTTCCATGAGTATGTACTCATGTGCCATTGGCCCTTCTCAATTAACAAGTTGAATTAAGACATAATTGTGAATCTTGCCTTAGACCAGATTCCCAAATAATTACTTAAGTTAGACACAAAAAGCATCCCACCAAAACAGACATGAATATATATGTTTTCTTCTGTTCGAGACATTTTTAGAGTACCTGAACTTAGACTTCTCAATATTCACTTTTATACATGAGGCCTTACAGAACTCTTCAAATGTAGCAGTTAATGCACTCACCTGAGTCTTAGAAGCTTTACAATAAAAGAGAACATCATCGACAAAAAGTAAGTGAGAAATTGGTGCTCCATCTTGACTCTAGAGAGTTTCAAATACTGTGAAGTAGCTGAATCCACCTTCTCATGAATGAGCGGATATAATTTTTCCATATAGAAAACAAATAAATAAAGAGACATAGAATCACCTTATTGGAGACCCCTGGTTGGGCTGAAAGAGTCCAAACGAGAGTCATTCCAAAGAATGGGATATACCATCAGATCTCATACACCACATGATCAAGTTAACATTATTAGTTGGAAAGCCAAAGTATTTTAAAGTTTGTTCCAAAAAATCTCAATTCAGTCTATCATATACTTTTTTTAGATCCACTTTAAAAGGTTTTAACTTCCTTTATGAATTTCAACACTACTTTAAATTAATTATTCAAAACCTTTTCCTCAAAAGCATAAGCTGACACATAACTAGAAATTAAAGTTGTTGTACGGTTGAAAATTGATTCTACATTTTAACATATGATTGAAGTTTTAGCCTATCTTTATTAATTAGTTCAAAATAAATTTACACGAGCTTCTACCAAGTTATTCAACTAAACTATTTATTTTGATTTTCTAAACCAAATAATACAAAACGTGTCACACAAGTTTAATGTTGAATTTTATGACAAAACTATATGGCTCTCAATGGTGTAACACACACAATGGAATAAACATGAATTTGTGTTTAAAATTATATATAATCAAAATTTGCATATAAATTGTGTACCCAATTGTAGTTCTTAAATGTTTAAAGTTGTTCTTCAATATTATGAAGACTCTACGCGTTTATCCACACTGAGGCCAACCTTTGATATCTAACTCTTTGAACCAATAAAACAGAAAAATAGAACATTCCAAAACTAAGAATATATTACTTACAAAACTTCTTTTGTATGTATTGTGTAACGAATAAATAAGAGAAAAAGATGATACAAAAGACAACACAATTTGTCTTCCCTTTATTTAACAAAACAGTGAATGAAATTCTCTCATATTGCTTTTTGTTTTTATGCACAACCATTTTCTGCTTTTCTGTTTTCAAGTGATACCTATTGGTTGAAATGTTACAAATAAATTATCACATATAAAACAACACAATAATTCTTCTTTTATTTTTCAACTACATATGAATATTTTAGAATGTGCTTTACTTATTATTTAAATTCTTGGTGATAGCAAAGAATTAAAATAATATTCCATGAAATTATTTATTTGATCAAATTAAATCCTCCAATTTAATTATCAAATAATATAATTATTTAGCAAAAGGTTAGAACACTCATTAGTGTGTGACCTCGTAAGTTCAATACTAAGTTGATAGTAAATTAAATAATTAATCTACTAATCAAGGTTGACGTCTAGCAACACTTCTTAACAACTAGTTAGCATGAAGTAATAATATATATTTCATTTTCAAGAACCACTAAAAGATTACCTAAAATATTTTCTTCTATCTTTACGGCTCTAACTAACTTTAAAGTATGGTACAATTGTCAAACTTTAATAAGTTGTCATAATGACTCAAAGAAACTCATTTCTTTATTCATTGTAATACTTTCGCCAATGTCTTATTTTATTACCGAGCTTAAACTCATTACCAAAATGGATTCCTTCTTGATTAATCACAAATTCTAGATGTATTACTCAATATTCATTCAAATGACATCCTAAGACATTATGTGTCCGAAATCAAAGTATGATAAATAACATGTTAATTACTATGTTAATCTCAAGTCAAATGAAACTATTTCATTTCTTCTTGAGAATTTACTATTGACAATTTAAGGTAATCTTAACCATTATGAATTCTCAGTTGAGTTAGTTGACTCAGTTCAATGATCATATACACATATGCATCATCTATATGTTTAATTTTGAGATCTATTAATATTTATCCAATAAATACTATTACACAAATATTGATTTATTCGAGTCATTGATGTCTTATTCTCAATGATTATGATCAAGAACAATTTAGACTAAAAATTATAAGAAACATGTTTCTCATTATTATAATCTCTATTATAATAACAAGTCTCTAATTTTCAATCAAAGACCTTATCATATAATATATTTAATTAAATAACTAATATGATAAAAATAAATAAATATAATTACTTTAATTGTACTTAATTACAGATTGTGTCTTAAATATAAATGTAGAAATATACTTTAATTGTACTTAATGACAGATTGAGTCCAAACGAGAGTCATTCCAAAGAAGGGATATACTATCAGATCTCACACACTACATGATCAAGTTAACAATATTAATTCGAAAGCCAAAGTATTTTAAAGTTTGTTCCAAAGAAATCTCAATTAAGTCTATCTTGTACTTTTTCAATATCCACTTTAAAAGGTTTTAACTTACTTTGATACATCTTCATTTATGAGTTTCAACATTACTTTAAATTAATTTTTCAAAACCTTTTCCTCAAAAGCATAAGCTGACACATAAACAGAAATTAAAGTTGTTGTACTGTTTAAAAATTGATACTACATTTTAACACATGTTATGATTGAAGTTTTAGCCTATCTTTATTAGTTCAAAATAAATTTACACGAACTTCTAGCAAGTTATTCAACTAAACTATTTATTTTGATTTTCAAAACCAAATAATACAAAACGTGTCACACAAGTTTAATGTTCAATTTTATGAGACAACTATATGCCTCTCAATGTTGTATATTATCATGGCTTGACTCTCAGTGATTAATTTTGGGGTGGAAACAGTCCAGACCAGACCAGATTTTGCCTTAAACAGGTCGAACCTATATAGCACATAGGACTCTTGGCTCTGGCCTGTTAGTCTGTTTAAAAAAATTCACAGCCTAAGTCTAACCTGTTTAAAAGTCTGGTCTGGTCTGTTAGTCTGTTTAAAGGCTTGTTAAGGTAAAAAATTCAACCCATTATATGCAAACTAGAAAAAATTATTATAATTATAGCAATTAGTGTGAATTTTTTACATTGTTATCACAATTATTTCCATCATCTTCAAATATTGTATAATGTATTCGAATGATTTGTGGTACCTTTGAGGTTAGAATATATAAAACAATGTCTTTTAATATCATAGTAAAATATGATATTGTTCTAATATTTAACATGAATTGAGTTATGTACTTAAACCCAAGTCTCAACAATTAAATATCCAATTATTAAATAGTCTAATCTCTAAGTCCTAGTGAATTTACATATATTTTTTATTATTTAGTTTTTTTACATGTTATAAAAATAATTTATAAATATATAATAACATTACATAGACCGGTCTGTTAGACTTAATAGACTTTTTAAAATGTCTGTGTCTGACCTATTTCGGTTAAATAGGCTTTCGGAGAAGCCTAAGTCTGACATGTTTACTAAAAAAGTCTGACCTGATCTGACCTGTTATAGGCCAGGTAATAGACACCTGATAGGCGGTCTGACCTATTTCCACCGTTGGTGATCATCTACTCTCGGTGATCAATTTTATGACAAAACTAGCAGTTTATAAAATATATATAAATATTTAATATTAAATTTGAACTTATAAATATTTTTAGTGAAATTGTAAAGCTTGCGTATAATAATAACAATACCAATTATTAAAAATTGATTATTATCATTTATTATGAAGTTTGTAAGAAGCAATTACTTAATTCCATTGTGTATCCCCTATATTAATGATATAGTTATAATTTGTTTTCAATGGAAATGTTAGTAAATTAGAAAGGAACAGTTAAAAGCTTTTTTTAATGTTCATGCCAAGAAATTAACATAATATACATTATAAATTGTAAATATTATAATTTAATTAATATTTAGTTCTATATATTATTCATTTTTTGTACATAAATCAATCTTTTGTAGTTATTTTCATATTGAGAATTAAAGTCTTGTTAGAGCATTTCACAAAATTGAAAAAGAAAAGCAAAAGCAATTGTTAATGGAGAAAATAAAGCACTTATCAATTCCTTATAATAATTTTATTGCTCATAATGAAGCTTATTTTTTATGAGATATAGTTTAATTTGTAAAGGAATAAAAAGCTACAAAAATGAAGGATGATTTGTTTTTACACAACAACACTTTTGGGTTCCAGCTATGGCAGAAGGGGGACATACTCCTGTGGAATAGTTTTTAGCCTTACAATCTTGAACACAATTAGGATGATCTTTGCATGTTCCTATGCAAACTAACTTTCCAATAACTGGCACAAATCCAGTAGATTCCACAAATCCATTTCTAATTCCATATGCTGCATGTATATATATATATCATATGATCAACAAAAAAAGTTAGAAATTAAAATGTATCCAATATTGAAACATGAAATTATTATTCAAGATTAAATTTTTCTGTTTTGTTATTTGTTTATTACTTCTTACCATGAGATATAAGGAGAACTCCAACAATGAGTGTGAAGATAAATTTCATCATAACCATGGTAGGATGTGTGCAAGTCTTTTCTTTGTAGCTTTATGTGGATTCTTGATGTTTAACTGTTGT